ATGGCCTCCAACCTACTAGCGATGGCCTCCAACCTACTAGCGATGGCGTCCAACCTACTAGCGATGGCCTCAAACCATCTCAAACCTACTAGCGATGGCCTCCAACCTACTCGCGATGGCTCCAACCTACTAGAGATGGCCTCAAGCTTACTAGCAATGCCTCCAAATGAACGTGCTACTCAGTGAGTTCTCAGTCACTTGTGAAATCTGTGGCGGACCACATTTTCAGTTCCTGACTCCAAGCATTGTTTCCGTTCTATCCTGCAAGTTCTGCGACGTTGAACTTCTCTGTTTGAAGTCTTCAAAGCATCTGAAAGGACCACTGAGCTCCAAACCAAATCACCTTTGTTCAAATGAAGCGGTACGATGGCCTAAACACATGGGTGCAGGAAGTCTAGATCTTTCCCTCCAAATTATCCGGGCGAGCAATCAAGTGTCATCAAATATCTGGCCTGGTCACACAGGCCGTAGGCCAATAGTGTGTATGGCCTGAATTTGTATTGACGGCAAGTTGGAGACATGAACCACCACGCGCCTCTAGTCGAGGAATTTCAGGAATATCGACAAGAAGTCTCTTGGTATCTTGCGATGGTCTTCTATCGCCGTCTGTGTCGCAGAACCTTAAAACCAAGGACACCGACAACAATGCCAGGAACAATGCGAATCATTCTGGTCAAGGAGCAGTTTCCAGGTGACAGTGGACCTGCGAAAGTGTCAGATATGCAAATACCTGGCCTCTGTCTGACAGCCTCTCCAGCTCCTTTTGGCAATCACTCTATCTCAGCTTGTGTCTTGTGCGAAAAAAAAAGTGGCTGCCTAGCCGAGAGCTCGTGCGAGGGCACGAGCCACTTGGATCGGAGATTGAGAAGCGGGAAAGAAGAACTACACAGAAAGGATCATGAGCACTCTCTGTGCAGTTCAGCACATCCATCTCCCTCCCCCTAGAGCCGTGGTGACTTTGAGATACGCAATGCCACATTCAAGTCAACACATGGAAAAACACAAACACATGGTTCCTTTACCAAACACAATCATGTAAAATCGATCATCTCACGTGCAATCGCGATGTCCATTCACTCCAAACCTGCGTGAAGCTTCCTCACATGATGTTCAGGTAAAGAAGAGGTACTGACAGCATGGCCCAAGCTGCTGCTGCCCCGCTCAACTCTGTCTCTTGTGTGATGCTGGCCACATCAATGGGAGCGGCCTTGGCTCAAAAATCCGGAGATTGAGAGGGGTCAGGACGGTCAGGAATAGACATGAATAGGATGTGTATTGATACGTCTCGATGCAGCTGAAACAACCCGGCGGGGTGAAAACCGCGGGTTTGGTTGAGTGAATATGTATTGGAGTGAATCTTAGTCTGAACCTCGAAAACTGGGTGTGTTTTACCATTTTTTCTAACAGAAAGGAACGCTGTGGGGGCCTGCGTTTTCCAGTGTTTCTAAAAAGCTAATGTGTTCAATAAAATCCCTTTACTTATATATTTAAAAAAAAAAACTGAAAATACTTGTGAAACAAATAACAACAGCTTATGTGCCACACAAGGACCTCTCTCTGGGGTGGGGGGGGGAAGCCAAAAAAAACAACATAAAGAGCATTTGGCAAAGGCTGGGAGGGGGGGTCGACAAAATACAGAAACTTTTATTTTTTGGTCGAACCCCCCTCCAGATCTATAGATTAGGAGCCTCTGGAAAAGGCTAGGAGGGAGGATTGACTGAATGGTCGACCCTCCCCCTCCAGATTAGTATCCTTTGGCAATGGCTGAGAGGGAGGGTCTACCAACAAAAAGAATTGGATCGACCCCCTCCTCCAGATTAGGATTCTTTGGCAAAGGCTGGCAAGTCTAGTAGAGCAGAGTGATAAACGCAATTTTCTTACTCTTGAAACTAATTTTCACAATTTTTGAAATGTATACAACTGACTTTAAACTGAAGCATGCTGGTATTACAGTATAGTGAGTGGCTTTTGTCAATAAGATTGGAGGCTGAAGAGTGAGGAAAAATGTGGATATTAAATTACCTAATTCACTTTACCAAGTTGTAGAAAATCAAACTGTAGAACTTTCAACATCTAAAAATAGATGCATTCAACATGCTGAGTATGATACTGATACTGATGATATTGTTAGTGACATTGAGAAAGTGAACCAAATAATGATTAGGATATTACTTGCAGGAGCAAGCAACAATCATATCAGCCAGAAAATGGTTGATAATGGTTACAGAATATTACTTGTATGGCCTACTAATAGGTTATCACATTAATTTGAAGTTGGCACCAGAACACTAAAAAACAATATTTTTGGTCAAAGTTCACCTTAGCTGCTTCACTACTCTTAGCAGCCTTAGCATCAATTTTTTGTTTTTGAAACTGGAACACGTGATGCAAGACCAGCTGTTTCACTACATGCTTCATACCCTTTGTGTAACAGGCCCAAATGTAGAAAAAAACACACAAACACACTGAAAAACACGGGCCCTCACAGCGTTCCTCTCTCTCTTTTCTAAACAGTACCTAGAAATCATCTCAGTTACAATAGGATTCAATTTCAGGCGATTTTACATTGTATTACAGTGCTCGGGAGATCTCGTGTCATGAAAAGGGTGGTGCGAACGAACTGTTGCGCCGTTTTCACAAAGAAAATGTGTAAAAAAGGGACGGCGGCGCTCCTTTTCACGAGAGTCTTGCAAAACCTCGAGCAAAATCAAAGGAACCCGCACTGAAATCCAGGGGCCACTGGTCCTGTTCACAACATATCTTAAGACAAATCAAAATCGTGTCGTCACTTCCAACAACGAGCCCAAATATATATCCAGGGTGTACCTCAAACCACCTTCAAAGAGACACCGGTGACTCACCTCCCGTTTCAAAATGTTTCAAAACCACCCAACCTCAACAGCAAAGCAAAGGCTAGACCGGCATTGACCGGCAGCCGCTTTCGGGTTGAGTGGCCGCATTTCTTAAAATGGTTGTGTACGATCCCTACCCCTAAGTGAGGGGGGACCTGCAAAAATGTAGGCTACATTTTTTGGTGCTTTTGAGACCAAAAATGTAAGCTACATTTGCATTTTTGGTAGCCAGTTCAAAAAATGTAAGCTACAATTTTCGGAAACATGTAAACTACTTTTTTGTTTGTTCCTTCAGAAGATGTAGGTTACATTTTCTCAGTCGCTTACATTTTTGCAGGATATAACCAACACCTCATTTATGGCCCTTATAGGGCGTTTGGATGCAAAATATCAGGTAAACAATGTATACTCTTTCTATAAATATTTGGTTTTATCAAATTAAATCAAATTCTATAGGCAAATTACATTGTCTTGATGAATTTCAGCGTGGACACTTCACTGATTGTTTTCACCTTATACATCTTTACTTCTGTAGTTTTCATATGTTGCCTTTCAATGTCTAGGTACATACGCCCGTAAAACTTTTTGAGGTTCCATTCCATTTTCTTACAGTAACGCCTTTCTGTGTTTTCCCTTTTTTCCCTCAATTTCCCTCTAGACCTTTCTGACTTCTCTTGCTGTTCTTTTCGGTTTGTCGTTCCTTCTTCTTGGATACCCATGGGCCCTAGGGCCATTACCCGCTCGTGACGGAGCTGCTCGTGAGAATCTGCCACTGCATTTTACTGCTGCCTTTTTTCTGTATATCCTCGTTCCTTCTCAGTTACCATTTACTTTTTTACTTTTGTAGTTTTCATATGTTGCCTTTCAATGTCTAGGTACATACCACCGGTTTCGGGCGTCCAAAAATGGAGCTTACATTTTTGACTGTTTTTCCCATATGCATCTCTAGTTCTGTAGACTCCATATGTTGCCTTTCAATTTCTAGGCGCATACCACCGGTTTAGGGGCGCCCAAAAATGTAGGTTGCATTTTTGGAGGTTCCATATTCTTAACGCCTTTCTGTGTTTTCCATCTTTTCCTCTAGACCTGGCTTCCTTCTCTTCCGGTTCTTTTCTGTATTTCTGTCCTTCTTCCTGGATACAAATGGGCCCTAGGACCATTTCCCGCTTCCTGACGGAGCCGCTCGTGAGAATCTGCTACTACATTTTACTGCTGGCATCTTTCTTTATATTTTCCTTCCTTCTCAGTTACCATTCGATCGTAGGGGCCTTGCATGGACACTTTATTGGTTGTTTTTCCATATGCATCTC